AGCCTTCAAAAACTTTATTTTTAACAAGGGCCCCAACAATTCTATGTTTTGATTAAAAGTGTGGTTTGGGGGAACACTTTTAACCCCCATTGTGTCAGATGACATATACAATAAAGTTAAATTACTAATCATGTAATTGAACAAAAAAATTTCTTTATTGGGTTCATTCTTTCTTGATCCTAGTCTGAGAGAACCCTGCTATGTGGTTGAGATGACTTTGAACCTATAAAGGATCTCTGGATGACTGAAGTAGCTCCTTGGGCCTTTTAGGGATTCCTTTTGGCTTAAAAGAAAGCGTAAATGATTGGACCAAATTGGGTACTTCCAGATTTCCCCAAACTGATCAGAACTAACTCCAACACTAATTCCTTCCAGGCTTGAAGTTGCTGCTAGATTGCCACTAACCTATTGGGTGACCCTGGTAGTTCCTAAACACATTGGAGGCATGTGTGGTGCCCAACAATACTATATATGGGACCATAAGGGAATCCCCCCAAACTTGTCAAGTTTGTGAAGTAACTTGTTTAAGAGAGTAATACATGCCCAGTACAGGTTTAGGAAACATGTAAAGTCAAAGGAGAAAATAAAAATCACCTGTAATCCCATCATCTAAAAATAACCACTACTATCATTTTGGGATATTCTTTATATCTTTATAAAATGATAATCCAATGTCCATATTTATCTGTGGCTTTCCCCATGTATTACTATAAGTGTTCTGCTCCAGTGTGATTTTTAAAAATATAACTGCATAGTCAATCTAGCACTTTTTAAAACAGTGCCAAGGGCTTATCACATTCCTGGAACTCACTAGCATGTTTTCTATTTTTGAACATGTATCTACAGTACACATATCAAAATAAGGAACATTGAGGGTAACAGACCTCTTATTTCTTGGATTTTCCATGACTCATAATTTGAGAAACCCTGCCTTGTTTCTACAGTCAGTATTAGTGGTCCTCCTATGAGAAATCCTATCTGATTTCTTTCATCAAGTCTGAACAGCTTAGATTTGCCCCTAGAGGGGGCAACTGGGTGACTGTAACAAGGCAGGCCATCATCGCTACCTAAATCCTGCTGGAAAGGGATGTCAACAGCTGCAACAGGCTGGGGGCGGGAGAAGGAGCTGGCCATAATTCATAGAGAACAAAAGATGAGAGGGGCTGAAAGGGGATAAAGGACCAAGAGTTGGTGGGGATGGAGGGTCACAGTATAGAAACGTCCACACATACTTAAGCGTGAAAATATTTAGAAATCAAATACAGGTGAGGTCTTCTTAGTTATTATCTAAATACATACCCAGTGCCTACCATTTTTAAGGGCTAGTGTTTAAGGGATAATGCTCATATAATAAATCTTTATTTTTGAAAAAATCCCCTTTTTCTACTTTAATCTTTTTTTTTTTTATCAATGTGTGGTTGCCTCTTGCACACCCCGCTCTGGGGACCCAGCCCAAAACCCAGGCATGTGCCCTAACTGGGAATCAAACCGGTGACCTTGTGGTTTGCAGGCTGGCACTCAATCCACTGAGCCACACCAGCCAGGGCTTACCACTTTAATCTTTAAAGTCATTCTTTATTATTACTTTTAAATTTCCTCTCCCCATCTACATAAATGATTATGGTTTGTTTCTCAGCCATCCTCAAAGCCTGGTGTATTGTGGCACCAGAAGAGAAAGTATTTAACATACTTGCCCTAGTGACTTGATCTTTTGTCCAAGGCCTAGTGTTCAAAAAAAATACCAAAACTAAAAACTAAAACTAAAACAAAATTGGGGTTGGGGTGAGTGGAAGATTGCAGAAATATGGCCTTCAAGTTATATTTACACTACAGATGTATTATCATGGTGAAGGGGAACTAAGGTCGTGGATTTATGGTAGAGAGAGCCAATGTCTAAAACTGAGCAAGTAGTAATAGAAAAAACAGTTCAAATATGAGAGAATCAAAGAAATAAATGAAAAGATGTGAAAGCTTTATGAAATGAATTTAACTTATTAGGCCTTTTTGTTTTTCCAGTTCTTTAGAGTTACGCTCCAAAGCTCCCCTCTTCCAGAAAGTGGCACCCCACTAAGATAACTCTTAAGTAAATGTGTATTTCTTATTTACTAATTCATCCAATAATATTTGCATATATGTGCCAGGCAATGCCAAGCAAAACAATAATAGAGAGCTGTAATACTACTATATTAGAGAACAGTTATATGCTATCAGTGTCCTCTTCCCATGTAGGAAGACAGTAAAAGCCGAAGAATCTGCAGTGGAGAGAGCCAAGGCCAATGCGTCCCTTTGGGAGGCCAGGCTGGAGCTCACAGAGCTCTGTAGGATTGAGTATCGTGATACTTCCTGGAGACTTGCAAAAACTAATGAAGACTTAAAGAAACAGCAGTATAAAATGGAGAAAGACACCATGTCTGTATTAAGCTACCTGAAGAAGCAGGATCAGGAGAAAGATAATATGGTAGGTAGATAGAAGCCCTCCTGAGCCTCAATAACTACCTCTGTGCTATGCTTGCTTGGTTCTATATTTAAAGGATTTTGATTTCTTGAAATCACATCACACAATTAAGACATTTCAGTTGACTTTAACTCTCCTTGAAGCAGGATGTTATTTCTGAATGGCCTTACTGTCATAACTGGATCTTTCTTATTTTCAGTTCTTGTCCTGTTTTCTTGTCTGAACAAATTGACGATCATAAGGGAACATTATAATCCATTTTATTTTAAGGACAAGTGCATGGAATATGAACTATATATTTTTTTATATTTACGGATATTTAGTTTTAATGATTTGTAAAGCTAATCACTCATAATCAATGAACACATGATGAACCCAGCAAGTTGAATCTTGAATTCATTTTACATACTTAATTTATGTGTTGAAAAGCTGCCATTTTAGATCTGGAAGAAAAAGGGATAGAAACATTTTGGGATAACATTCTGGAGCCCCTATTTTAGTGCCAGGTACTACTATGCTAGGTACTTTACCTCTGTTATCCCATTTAGTCCTTTTAATAACCCCATGTAGCTACAATATTGTCATTCCCACTTTACAGAAGAAATTGACTCTCAGGACTGATAACTTTCCCAAAATCACACAGCTAGTGGGTGTTAATATGGAATTTAGGTGGAATTCTTCTCTTTTCCATCTGTCTCTATGAGAACCATGGAAACCCAAGGAAATTTCTACCCTGCTGAGGATGGTATGTATCATTCCCATATAGGTTCTTATACTTTCACTATTCATGTATTGTGCATCCACAAACAATATATATTACAGTCTTGTTTTAAAATTTACATTAGTGATATTATGCTGTGAATGTTTTTTGCAACTTGTTTTTGTATTCAACATCAGATTTTGGAGTCTAGTCACAAAAATCACATGATGATCAGTTAATTTTTAAACAAAAATTAATGACCGTGCTTTATTTTTTTCATTTGTTCTTAACAGCTTTAAAATATTCCATTAAATAAATAACCCAAATTTTATTTACCCATACCCCCCTGTGGGTCGGTTAGACTCATTTTTTTTCATTATTATGATGAACATTCATGTGTATGTCTTCATGTGTCCATGCGTGGGAGTTTCTCTGGAGTAGATACTTAGAAGTTATTACTACATTATAGGGTATGTATACTTTCAACTTTACAGGGGTTTAAATTGAGCTACAAGAAGTAAAGAAATTATACCAATTTATACTGTCACAGGCAATATTTTTGAGTGAGCTTCTGTTTGCCAACATTGTTGTTAATACTTGGTAATGCGAGGTCTGTCCAGAAGGTACCCAGCCATGTACTATGGCAAATAGAGTTATCTATTGAAAAAGATACAAGATACAAGAAACACTGTACACAGGACAATGACTCCTCAGTCCCCTTCAACGTAGGCACCTTGGAACCTGATACAGTTCTCCCAGTTGCCACCAGCTGCTGCATCATATTTTCCTGAATCTCATCGACGGTCTGAAATCTTTTCCCCTTCAAAGGAGAGCTTAGTTTTGAGAAAAGCTAGAAGTCACGGGGCACCAAATCTAAGCTGTAAGGGGGCTGAATCACCTGGGTGATTTGATGTTTGGCAAAAAAACTCTGCAGGAGATGTGATGCATGAGTGGGTGCATTGAAGTTGCCAGTCACCAGTTGCTCATAGCAGTGGCCTTATGAATCATCAGAATAGTTTTGACAGAGGAATGTTCAAGGTTAACGCAAAATTTGATGTAGATTTGTTGCTGTACGCAGTCACTTTGAATGCTACAGCCACACAGTACACATGCTCACTCAACATCTTCTACCGCCCCCACTGACTAGTACAGTGAAGTCATCATTGTTCACACATGCACATTCCAGAACACTCTCTTGGCTGCCAGGTTACATCAATGTCATGCAAACCATTCTTGTTATGTTAACAATGGCTGGACTTTTTCCAGACAGACCTCATATACTTAATTTTTGCTTCATTTTATGTATTTAAATTGGGTTCTTGGTGTTTTAATTTGTATTTTCCTGATTATTTGTTGTTTGAACATCATTTGTATGTTCCTTCACCCATTTTTTATTGTTTTTTATGTTTGCTTCAGTATACATATAAGCTAATTTTGGAATGATGCAAAGCATGGCTCCTGTAAGGTGGGCATGTAAATTCATGCATCACTCCATAATTTTTTCAAAAGCCACCTTTTCAGTGAGACCCTTCCTCACTAACCTCTTTAAAATTAAAACCGCTCCCCTATTTTGTTATATTTATTATTTTCTGTCATGCTGTATGCATGTTACTTATATATTTGTTTATTGCCTCTCTTCCTGATTAGAAAAAAACCTCTCAGAAGTAAAGAATTGGGAGCCCTTTTTAAAATTATTCCAGTGCTATATCTTCAGTACCTAGCATGGGTCCAGCATATAGTAGCCACTCATTAAAATATTTTTGCATACATGAATGAATGGCTTGTGAATGTACTGATGCTTTCAAAAAGTTAATAGCAATCAAAACTAAGTTCGAGATGATACTGATACTTACCTGTCAGGGAAGATATTATGATCACAAGGCGGTTTTCCCAGGGCAAGACCTATCCTTTGCACTCCAGATGTGCTGACCCCTGGGATTTCCCCAAATGAGGGAGACTTGACTGCATAATCTGTGTGGTGTGGGACTGCGCTTGTGCTGTCCCTTTAAAAAAAAGATGATACTGAAAGCATATTAGAGAAACAAACAGCTGAACATTCCTGTGGATTTCATGTATTTTATTAAAGTATAATTTTGTGCATCGGAGTTATTTTTTTACTTTTTTTTCCCTGGGGAACCTCTGTTTTTAAAATTACTTTTTGAATAGCAAGCATTATCAAAATTATCTTCCACAAAGTATCATTCTAAAGTAAGTTGTTAGGCCAGCCATACAACTAATTTTCATAATTCATTACATAGAAGCTTTGTGGCCTACAGTAGCTAATTGATATTGGTCTTCATTTATCAGTATCATTTGTATTTCTTGATTTTCATCTGCCTCTGTATCTCACAGGCCCACATCCGGTTGCAACAAGAAGTAATGCAGACTCACTATTTCCTGGTTAACCAGCTCTCCTATAGTTTTGTTATTCATTCTTCTACATTGGAGAAATGCATTATTTTCTTAAGTTGTATTTAAAGTGTTAAAGTCTTATTTCATGTTAATTATAGAAATATTACAAATAAAATGTTTTAAAATTATTATATTTTGAACAAAATTAGGATATTTTTCTTTAAGAGGGGCTTTTTATATTTAATGCTTTGTTTAATCAATCACAAAATAAATCTCATATCTCATACCGTTCCTACATGGCTTAGGACTGTCTCAATTTATTTTTTAGAATTTTTAGGTTTTCCTTAAAGTAGTCTAAGATATTATTTAAATACAACAATATTTCACTTCCGTATCCTTCACTTGTATAACCACATCAAGGAGTTTTTAGTTTAAAAGCTACTCAGGTTCCCTACTAAAATCAGCATCCATGGAGAAATTATTCATACCAGGACAGGACCAGGGAGTGTAAAAGATGAACTCGGAATGTCTTACTGCACCAGGGAGTAAGTAAAAAATATTAAAGGACACAGGGACTATCTGGAAGGGGCTCCTACTGGGCAAATCTGGGACAATCAAAATGAATAATGACAGTAATAGATAAAAACCCATCGAATAGAGTAAGTCCATGAGTGCATACTGCTAATAAATAAATACATTCATTAATAAGTGAGGGAGAAGGGAAAGTTCTTCCTTACAGTAGAATGCAGTAAATTATTAAATTTCCAAACAATTATGATGGGGTTAGAACAGTCATCGTTTGGCATCACAGTACTAGTCGATTCAGTCAAGAATCATCAATGGAAGCTTAAACTAGTGGATGACAGTTTGATGAGCAGAAGGATACTTGCATAGTCTCAAAATATCCTTCCACAGACTACTTAATAATTACAAAATAAAAATAATAAAAATAATAAGAAGAGAAAACTGGCATACATAATCTTGACCAATTGATTAAAATTATCATCAGTCATCTCATGATGTGATGCGCTGGAAAGGATACACCGTCACCTTGGTGGTGTATGCCTTCCAAAAATGCATAGCTTAAATCTACTAATGAAGAAATATCAGATAACCCTAACCCTGGCCAGCATTATTCAAAAATGTCAATTCATAAAAGACAAAGAGTGAGAAACTTTACCGGATTAAAGGAGACTAAAATATGTGGCAAGTAAATATAATGCAAAATCAAGGGTTATATCCTGGAGTGGAAACAAAATTTGCAATAAATGACGTTAATGAGACAAATTGTGATGAAGTTTGAATATGGACTATACATTATATCAGTGTTAAACTTCCCAATTTTGATAATTGTACTATGCTTCTTAAAAAAGCATGGCATTTTTCTTAGGAAATATATAATTACATAGGGGTAAAGGATCATGTCTTTAACTTATTCTCACATGGTCCAGGAAAAACAATGTAAAAAAATATATCATCCATATATGTATACCTATATAATTATATATTTAGATACATCTATCTATATATAAAATACATAGAGAGGGAAAGCAACTGTGACAAAATTGGGTGAAGAGTGTATGGGAGATCTTTGTAACTCTTCTTGAAACTTTTCTTCTAAAAAGTTACCCAGATATATTATGCTAAGTGAAATAAGTCAGACAGAAAAAGACAAATATCATATGATTTCCCTTACATGTGGAATCTAAAGAGCAAAATGAACAATGAAAATAGAAACAGACTCATAGATACAGAGAAAAGACTGATAGTTGCCAGGGAGGTGGGGAGATTGGGGACTGGGTGATTAAGCCGCACAAATTGGCAGTCACAGAATAGTCCTGGGAATGTGAAGTACAGCATAGAGAATATAGTTATTACTGTTGTAATAATTATGTACAGCATCAGCTGTGCACTTGAAATATGTAGGGGACCACTTCGTAAAATATATGTTTGTCTAACCACTGTGCTGTACATCTGAAACTAATACAAGATAATATTGAATGTGAACTGTAATTGAAAAATGAAATTTTAAAAAGTTACCCAGATAAGAGCAATGCATATCAAAACAATGAGATCACTTCCTACCCATGGCTACTATGGGAAAAAGAGAACAAGTGCTGGAGAGGATGCAGGAAAACTGGACCCCTTGTTCACTGTTGGTGCGAATGTAAATTGGTGCAGTTGCTATGGAATCAGTATGGAGGTTTCTCAAAAAAATTAAAAATAGAATTACCAGATGACCTAGCAATCTCATTTTTGGGGTATATTTCCAAAGAATTTAAAGCAGGATCCTGGCCAGTGAGGCTCTGTTGGTTGGAGAGTGGTCCATAAACTGAAGGGTCACAGGTTTAATTCCTGGTCAGGGCACGTGCCTAGGTTTCAGTTTTGGTAACTGTATAGGAAGCAATTCATCGATGTTTCTCTCTCTCTCCCTTTTCTCTCTCTGGAATCAGTAAATACACACACACACACACACACACAATTTTTAAGATTTTACTCATTTTTAGACAGAGGGGAAGGGAGAGAGGGAGAGAAACATTGATGTGTGGTTGTCCCTCGCACACCCCTCACTGGGGACCTGGCCTGCAACCCAGGCAAGTGCCCTGACTGGGAATGGAACCCACCACCCTTTGCTTCGCAGTCTAATTTTTTTGATGTTCAATACACTGAGCCACCCCAGTCAGGGCTGAAATCAATAAATATATATTTTTATAAAAGAGCCCTGGCTGACGTAGCTCAGTGGATTGAGCACGGGCTGCGAACCAAAGTGGCGCAGGTTCGATTCCCAGTCAGGGCACATGCCTGGGTTGCAGGTCATGACCCCCAGCAACCGCACATTGATGTTTCTCTCTCTCTCTCTCTATCTCCATCCCTTCCCTCTCTAAAAATAAATAAATAAAATCTAAAAATAAAGAATTTAAAGGAGGATTTTGGAGAGGTAATTGCATAACCTATGTTTGTTGAAACATTATTCACATAGCCAAGAGGTAGAAGCAACCCAAATGTCCATTTGATGGGATAAATAAAGAAAAGTGGTATATACATAACATATAGTGGAATATTATTATGCATCCTTAAAAAAGAAGGAAATCCTGTCACATGCTACATACAACATGGATAAACCTGAAGGCCAATATGCTAGGTGAAATAAACCAGTCGTGAAACACAAATAGTGTAGGATCCCACTCGTATCAAGTATCTAAAGTAGTCAAAATCCAAAAATAGAAAGTAGAAAGGTTGTTGCCAAGGGCTGTGGGGGAGGGGGGAGAAGGCATTAGTGTTGCATGAGTATAGAATTTCCGTTTTGCAAGATGAAAAAGTTGTAGAGGCCTGCTGTACAACAATGTGAATATACTTTACTGAACCGTACATTTAAAAATGGCTAAGATGGTCAACTTAATGTTCTATTCTTGACCACAATTTTTTAAAAAGTTACTTGGGTAATTCCGATGATAACCGATGACAGGTTTTGGAAACTAGCAATAGTAAGTTAAAAGTATGAAGTATGTCCCCTCTTTTCTTCTTCACACCGTACTCAACCTCTCTAACACTACTGGTTTTAATATCATGTGAAAACAAGGCTACTTAATAAAGGCAGGATGCAGAAATTTGTTTACCTTATTAACTGCGTTTTCATTTCCTACAGATTGAAAAACTGAAACAGCAATTGAGTGAAACAAAGGAAAAAGCCCAAGAGGAAAAGGAAAAAATGGTAAGTATCTATGTACACTAATACTTCACTTACCAGGTGGTCAGGTTTCTGGCAAACTCACATTTAAGACCAATAAGAATAAATGAATAGGTCCTTTGAGCGGCTCACACACATGTTGTGCAGAAGCTCAAATATAATATAAACATACGTTATTTTAGAAAACTATCTGATATTAGTGGTGCTTACTGATCCTGAGTTTGACATCCTTTCTAGGGCTTTTCAGTGGACCAACTTAGGAAATTTATATATTTTTAGAGATTAAAATACATTATGAGCCCTTACTAATATTTTCAATTCAGTTGCAGGAATACAGGGTTTTTACTTAACTTTATTTGTGTCTCCTTTCTCCCACACCCCAAACCCTGATTCTAATGATACCAGTATAATTGTGTAGTTGCTTTAAACTTCAATACAACAATCACAGAATACTAATATCAATACTACCACCAACAAAGGTTAGTGGAAACAGTTTAAGATTTTGTGGGGTACTTTTCTCATTAGGTTATATACTGATAGGAATCTACTATCAAATTACAAGGTTTGAAAACCATGTGAAATAATTCCCTTCTGCAATGTTATGACACCAAATCAATAACACATTCTGCTTTTGAGTTTTAGGAGTTGCTTTTGAAAAGGTTAATCATGCATATAAAATTATGTAATTATATACATATTTATAATTATGTCAAATATGTATGTGGTTCCAAAGTCAAATCTATTAAACATGGTATATTCTGAGAAATCTAACTTCTGTCCCTATGTTCAGATATACCAGTGTATATTGTCAAAATGGATTTTTGTCAACATGATAGGTGAGAAGTGCTGTTTTAGCGCATTTCAATTTGCATTTCTCCTATTTTGAGCTAGGTTGAGCATTTTTTTCATGTTTAAGTGTCAATTGTATAACTTGATATTTCTTGTTCTTTTTTTCTGTTATTGACCC